CACCCCACCACGTACGCACCAACTAATGCTGCAGGATTCCCGTCTACTTTGTGCCAGCCCAAGACTACTTCTGCACCGGTGGCCGGTGTCTTTTGCTCCCTTGGCTGCGCCTTGCGCAAGAGGAGGCACCGGACAAAAACAGACACTCAATGCACACATGACGATCGCGAGACACGGACACATCGACACTCGCCCTGGGAGGCACAGCAACCGATAGGAGTCATAGACACGGGCACCTGCACACGCCCAGGCAATAGGGCAAACCTGTCCAGTTGCAGAGGCAATAAAATCCCCTGTTTGCCAATCGAGAAGGGATGAGTCCATGTTGTGCAACTGACTGAATGCCCGATTTGGCCGCAGATGCAGTACATATCTTTTGCAGTCAACCAGGCACGCATGCATACACACACACATGCGTTGGCATTTGTACAGACAAGAAGCTTCAGGACACATTTAGGGATGTCCACACTCTCTCATACACTCATAAACAGAACGCCCACAAGGGCGAAAGCAGGAAAAAGAAGGTCAACTACCGCAGAACAGACAAAGGTCTGGCAAAAAATGCCGGTGACCAGAAGTAGCAAAGTCCAAGACTGTCTGATATCCATTCGTCTAGCAACGAGATAGCTCGGACAGATAAGCACACAGGCACACACATGTACCAGTGCACCTGCACCCGCACCCACACTCGCCCTCACGCACCCACTCACACACCAATACACACACACACACACACACACACACACACACAAGACAAGATAGCCCCACTGTGGCGGAGGCAAATTGTGATGCACGAGAAAACGATATCATCCAGGTAACCTTTAACGAAGAGCTGATGCAGCCACCTCTGCGACGAAGGCGCGATGATGACGACCTCTGCGATGGGCATCCGGACCAGCGGGCCGACCTTTGGTGGTGATTGTGCGTGCAAATGTGTGTGTAAACACACTTGTATTTATATGAACAGGCGTGTATGCACGGCGGAGAAGTGTAGGAAATGATTGCAGACAGATGTGGATGGCAGAAATAGGAAAGGATAAGAAGGGAATAGCTGCATTTCCCCTGGGGCTGGTCGACCATACCAGCGTGTCCTGCCGCCGGCGATATCGATTGCCAGGCGGTCGGGCAGGCGATCGTGACTTACACAAGTGGCGGGCAGTTGGTCGGTTGGGACGTTTGGCTCGGTGCCTCGATTGCTCCGGAATTCGGCGCCGACTGAGTCGAGCTCAACTGGACGCGAAACGACTCGGTTTGGTTCGGCTCGGCTCTTCGTCCAGTCGATCGATGGCAGCTCCGTTTTCATGTCTCACCGGATTGGTCGAGCTATCACTCTCGAGTCAAGTCGAGCTCGGTTCGACTCGGCCCAGCTTGGTTC